TGATCGAAAAACGCGAAGTGAAAATGTGTCTCAGCGTCATGTCTTTCCGTAGCATCGGGTGGGTGTTGCGTGTATTTAAGCTCCCGCGGCATGACGTCTCAATCCGGGTTCCGGGTAGTGGAATTTCCGCTTACGTAAATTCCGGTAACATGTAATATCGTAATCAAAATGTTAATGCATAGGTTTTTGTTCCGGGTGAAGGAAATTCCTTTTCATAGAATTCCGGGGATGGGAATATTTACTGTATAGGGCGAGCATTTGTCTCAAAACGATAAACACAAATATGTCAGTGATTTTCAGATGATTTTGTTTTCAGATCTACAAATATATCTGTGATATCGAGTGGTCCCACGCTATACTGCGGTTCACTTTTCACAGTACATATATTTTCCAGATCAACAAGTGTGTGTGTGTGTGCGTGTGCGTGTGTGTGTATTTAACTTATAATTAGTAAAAAAATCAATTCTGCTTGTGTATTGAGGTTAAGGTGCGTTTATGGATCAGGGGGAGTGCGCATTTAAACAAGACAGTAAAAAAGTAGGTCACCTTTAACCCACGGTATCGCATGACCTGCAACACAGGAAGTTGTGAGCGGTCGGCAGTCTGCAATTGCAGCTAGCGACCAGAGCCGTTGAGATATGATCTATTTCTTGTTTAATCTAATTCAAAGTTTGTTTGATTTGAAATTCACTGAGGGCATTGTCAAAGAATGGAAATCAGGAGTATCATTTTAAAATGGTACATGCGAGCTACGTTATCGTTATGTTTCTGCACTGAACATGCTACAAAGGTGCGTCCTTGGTTCCCCGTGTCAGGTACCCTACTCAGGTAGGCAGTGATTTCCTTCTTACAACTCAATTCTATCCTGTATTTTGTTCATTTTTCTGTTTCGTTCATCTTTGGCAAAGACACTACAAGCAAATGAACAATTTCACAAGCTGAAAAAACTGAGGAAATGGTGTTCGACCTTAAATCAATTGGAGACCATAGCCTCATCTCTATAAATGGCACGAACATCAGGCAGGTCTCCTCATACAAATACTTGGGGATTTATATGGATAGCAGGCTTGACTGGCAGACACGTATCAAGTGTCTGTTCGAAGCTCCATCAGCGCCTGCATTTCTTGCGACGGCTGAGATTATTTGGAGTCGGCAGAAGCATTCTGTTGATCTTTTATCGAGCAACTATTGAGTCAGTCCTGCGCTTTGGAATAACCAGTTGGTTTGGGAACCTGACTGTAAAATCGAAAGCTCAGAAAACCAGCTTGGTTAAGACAGCAGGGAAGGTAATCGGACAGCTCCCGCCCCCTGCCCCCCAGGATATATATGTGCAGTCCGTTATTCAACAGGCCAACAACATTCTAGACAATCCATCTCACGTGCTGCACTCCCAATTCGAGCTCCTACACTCAGGAAGGAGGTACAGGACCCTTCTCTGCAAATTAAACCGATACAAACACTCATTCATACCGCAGGCTATCAGCCCCCACCCCACGGGTCTCCCTTTTTGGGTTATCCTGGGATCTCCCCCAAGACTATCCCACTGTGAGTCAGAGTGTAAGGGCTAACATCCAGGCAAAGGTGTGAAGAACTGCCTTTGTTTTGTAAATAGCGCCGTGACTGATGCACCACAGGGGGGCACGTGAGGAAGACACGACTGGCTGTTGTTTTACATTTAAGCCCCGTTCACACGGCAACGTTTGGTCCGACGCAGCTCCGAAATAAATCCAGTCGAGCGTTCACACGTGCACATTTGCTCCGGCGTAGCTCCACTAAAGAGCTTATACCGGACCAAATTTGATCCACCTCAGGGAGGTGGTTTAAAAATTTGCTCCAGAGCAAATGCTCGTTTGCGACGCTACGCCGAAACAAATGTGCACGTGTGAACGCAGCTGGATTAAATTTGCTCCAGAGCAAATGCTCGCTTGCGGGGGAGTGGCCTCGCTACGCTC